AGGTACACTACTATAGGTTATCTCACGGCGCAGCCAGCAGTTGTCCCTACGGACGACAGAACAGGTTTGATCGGAGTTCCGACATTTTACTGCAAACCTTCACCAGAATCGCCTTTCCCATGGGAGGTGTAAATCGGGCAAAGTTTTCTTGCACTAATGCTAAAAGAAGCAAGTGACCTGAATGCACTAATACTGGCACCGGGACCAGTATTTGACGATCTTCTTCTGAAACTCGAATCTGAAACTAGAAATTGAAAATGTATCATCAAAAATTGCTAGAGAGCCAAAGTTTTTCTGCCTAAAAAAAAGAGCCCAATTACATCCATTTTGCTCTATAGGCAACGTTCGAAACGACTAAGTCCGCAAATTCAAATTAAGTTAATTAGTTTTTGAAATGATGTCTAACTTGCTGAACAGCTGGTTACTAATATAAAACAAGTAGCCGTTTCGATCGTGTGTTGGTCAAAAAACCTACTTCAAAATATACTCATTAAGTAGAAAGTTGATTTTTCCCGAAGGCATCAGATGGTATCGGGATTTATTTTCAATTCAGCAAAAAAGTTTATTAGACTTTTTCGAAGCTGAGGAACTGCTTTGATGTTGTTTTTTTCTAAATATTGAGCCTGGGTTTGCTGTAAAAGGTAGGCCATCGAGAATTTAGGTGTTATTTTGCGTGCAAGCTAATTGAAACACACACACACACACACAAACACACCAATGAGTCGATCCCACTTCCCAGCCGTTGTGTTCTTCTTCTAATGAAACTGGTCACTCAGAGTAGTTAAAGCTTAGTGTGATCCATTAGGTTTTTCTGAGAGAATCTAAATTTTGCGCATGATTGTCAGGTCACATCTAAATCTTTGTGATGAGTTAAGATTTGGGTAATTTGAACAACCTAAATAATTCAACAATTTCAAAACTTTTTATGCAACTTTCTAGAAATAAAATGCTCAGAAAATGATTATTTTGCCGATGATTATTTGTGGTACCTGATTTTTCGTGGTATACAAAAAAAACTAAAACATACGCAAAAACAGCGTTCTTTCCATTTTCAATGGTCAAAACAATTAGCCGGAGTACAAGACTTGCATGATTTATCTCGAGTGTCACTGATTACATCCGAATAACCTCAAATATTTTAAACGTGTTCAGAAAATAAATAATCTTCGTTTTTTTCTGAGCACCATTTCTGATTTGAAACAGAATTAGTGACCTCCCGACTTGTAATGGCTTGAGTCTTACACTGATAGCAGAATGAATATAGACCAGCCACACTCAGATCTGTATTTGAATGGACCGAACGCTGGATGCCGCGGAGGTTTCACATCAACTTACCTTATGTTACTTTTTAATAGTACGTTCTTTAACGTATCTCAACTTTCATTGGAAAAACAATATTTGCCGAATTTTTTACTGTCTGTTGTACGACATGTCTACTAGATTAACTGATCCATTTCCATCAACTTGCATATAACGAACCTTACTTGATCGCGTTACTCGCTCAAAATTCTCAATCATTTAAACAAGTTTTTCTAAACAATGAAACAATTACTGTACACCCTTATAGAAAACAGTGCATTCAGAAAAGTATGTAGAGCAGATGAGAGCATAAACGAATGTCGGCAAAAAAACTGTTTTTGCGTATCAGGTGTCGTTGTCATACAAAACGTACTTCTGGCATCGGGGTATCGTCGTTGCTGTTTGTCTAAATTTTTTTTGGAAGGCAAATCCAAATTTATTTTCAGGATCTCGGCGTTGGAGAGGATGCTCCAGTTTGATTGCTGTTCTTTGGAGGAATTGTTGAGTGTAGATGTCTGGACAAACAGGAGCGAGGCGTATTGCTGAGATTTGAACACTTCCACAGCGGGTCTAGCGTTGCATTGTCGTAGTACATTGTCGGCTGATGGAATCGGTGATTCTAAGCGACCTAGTGGCCATAATGCACGATGATTTGGATCTTCTAAAATCCAAATTGCTTTTCCATTTGAAATAGGCGGAGTTTTCGAGGTCCATATTTGTCGCGGAAGCAGAGTTGGGATGAACTCTTTCAATAGGCGGTTCTAAACATAGTCTGATAGCTGCTGTGCAAATTTCCATTGCTCTTTCAAAGTTAAGGGCAAAGAATTAATTCTAAGAGGCATACTGGCAAATATTCTTCCGAGAAGGAAATAGTCGGAGGCCAGGGCTTCGATGTCGCAGGGAGAAGACGATAAAGTCGTGATGGGTCGTGCATTCATAAACTGTTCATTCTCGCACAACAAGGTGTTGAAAGTATCATCTGTGAGGGCTTTAGATCCAATGATGGCGTATAGAGAGTTTTCGACGCTACGAAATTCTTCACCAGTCTTTTCCGCAAAAGCAGAGCAAAGTAGAAACATTAATAGAACTTTGCCCAAATCAGGGTTAAGTCTACAATGTACCAATTGTCTTTGAGTCCTCAAAAATTGTTTTTAATTAGAAAACAAGATACTTGTCAAAAAATAAGTGCAAATAAATTTCAAAAAACCCTCTTTTTGATGATGCAAACTAATTTAACTGATTTCATTTTCATTAAATGTTGGACATTTTGATTAGATAATTCAAACGGCGCAGTAAGTTTTATGATTAAGCAGTCAAATTTTAAGTTTTCGAGAAACTCGAAAATTTTTGTTCTCTTTGTGAAACATCAGTACTTCCAAATGGCTGTTTTTTTTGAAGCTCGATGATTGGTATGTTATAAAAAAATCACATGTTTCAATTGGTTTCTTCGTAAACCATTATAATGCCAGTCTTTTTCAATAATATTGGTACTCATTAACGGTCAACCGAAAAGCTTAGAAGAGTTTTTAGCACAATTTTTTGCCGCTTAGGTGATGGTCGAATGAATAGACAGCGCGCATTAAACAATTGAAAGATGGCCATTCTTAAAATTTTATTTTAAATTTAGGTAAACTTTATGCTTAATTTCATTTGAGGTTAAATATCTGTGGGTTGATGTAGAAACTATAACTCCCTCAAACAAAAGTTGATATCTTAACAGTTGCAAAAACAAAATTAACATAAAAATTGTAAACTCAAAATTTGTGGAAATTAATTAACCTCAAGTTTTTCTATTTAATTAGTTTCCCTGTTTTGTTTCAAGAACTAATAACAATTGCCAAGAGTATTATTTCAAAGTTTTCGTGTTCATGAGTTTAGGTCAATTCACTCTGTCTTTTCTGGAATGTTTTCATCTTCTTGTCGTTTTTCGTCGTCGCATATATATGCGTGCAACCTTTATATGCCTTGATGCTGTTGAATCTATGCATCAAACAGTACCGCACTGTTCAGTCGGCACTTTTTTGCAATCGCAAAATGAAAACGAAAAATGGGAGGGGTTGGGGAGGGGTGCCCCTTAGCTTAGTCCTAAACTATGTCGAGGAGAGTGTGCTAGCCTTTCGAGTTGGCTGTCTAAGTTGGAGTCGTCGGCTGTCG